TTGGAAAAAACTCTATTTTATCTTAAAGACACTTTTAGTTAAGTTTCGATCGGAACCCATGTCTTTGGCGATTTTAGACCTTGAAGAACATGAACTTAGATAATATTTAAGAGTAACGGTGAGTTGGGTTGAGCCGTGTTAGTGCGCTTTAAGTTTGAGGTTACTTAGTTCCTATTCTTTAGTATTTTTAAATTAGTAGTGATGTGTAGTTTTCATACTTGGTTCAGGGCGCTAATTAGACTTTCATATTCTATTCGATGATTATATTATTTCGTTTTCAGGTGAGTAGTTGCATGCTACATATTTTTATAAATGTTCCCCTACCTTGAACTGTTGGAAAATTAAGTTGTTGTTTCAGGACTAAACTGTTTTGATAAATTATTATATTATCAATGAAATTAAATTATTTCTGAAACATGTATGAACTTGGCATACTGCAAAGTATTTATTTTGGTCTCATGTTTATAATGACGAACTACCATGTTTTGCAAAACTGATGTGCATTGATTATTGGGACCATATGTGTATTTAGTCCAGGGAAATTATTCCACTGTGTGTGGTGACTCTGGCCACTAGGGAACAGATCCGGGTTGGGCCATGATGACATGGGCCATGATGACTCTAGTGCTCAACGATTATAAGGAAAAGACCTACATTAGACTAGGTGACCTTCAATCGGATCGTCTTAGAGAAAAGGCCCAGGTTGCCACCCTGAGGATGACTCTTAGTTCGGTATTGGATCTAACGGGGCTTATAGCCTTGAGAGCTGTGTGGTATATTATTTGTTTTTTTCTTGGTACCCAAAAAATTATTGGTGTTCATGTTGTAATCTGTTTTAAGTGGAAAATGTCATTTATCATGTTCTTGAGAGACATGAGTATTTTAACTGTTGAACTGTGGAACCTTCTTTTTGAAACAGATTGTCTTTACCAAACTGTATGCCAATCTAGTTTTTGTGATATATATCTTATTCTGGAATTGAACTCTGTTTTCAAAACTGCATTTACTATCCATGTTGCTACTCACTGAGCTATCAGCTGACTTAGTTGTTTATCATTTCCAGGTGTTAGAAGGACTTAGAGTGGACTCATGGCATAGTAGGGACTCGATTGCATGGACCTCTAGGACATTCATTTATTTTGTTTTAGATTGTTATGTCAAGATTGTGCATATTTATTTTTATTTTTATTGAGGTTCATTTAGGATTATTTTGATATGTGGGCTATTTATATCCCATATGTTTGGATGGTATTGATTACGGTTGGTTTTGCGGTTTATACTTGTGGTATGTCACTGGATTGAGTTTGGTTATTTATTATTGGACTATTGTATAGTTATTCAATGTGTTTATGTATTTGTGTTTAGGTGTGCCTTGGGCTGAGTCCCTATGGGCCACGGCCGGTCATGCCCAGATTTGGGGTGTGACACAAATCCTTATAATTTTTAATTATTTTAAATTTTTTAGTGTAATATATATATATTTTTCAAAGTTTTGGAGATATGATCTCACACCCTCTGCACCCCTAGATCCATCATTGATCTTCATTAAGCACTTTTAAATCTATTATAACTAGCATATTACCCGTACTATCTATGGTATAAATAAATAATCAAAAATTAATTTTTACATTTAAATAATAATATAAATTTTATCTAAAATATGTAGTAAAAATTATTTATGATCAATTAACTTTTATTTACTTTTATCAAAGTTACACATAAGAGAGAGTTTTTATTATGTTGTCACTAATTGTATATTATAAAAAAATACGTATCATCAAAGGTTAGACCAGGCAAGCTCATGGACTTGGTTTTAGCTTAAAAAATGTAATGGACCATAAATTTTTATTCCGAAAGTGAGTATGATATGAATTTAAAGTTAGTGATATGTGAATTTAAAGTGAGATGCCCAGGCAGGGGGGCAGAAGACAACTCCTATGACTCCTCAGCATGATAGGACCAAGGAACATTCTCGCCGGTGCTTCGCGGGAGGTCGGCCATGGAGAATCCCAGAAGACACGATCTCGACCTAGATGATTAGGTCCGAGAAAAGAAGAGCTCAGTCTAAAAGTGAGCAGATCCCAGATTCTAGAAGGCAAGATCTCAGCCTAAGATGATTAAGTTCGAGAAGAGAAGAGTTTACCGAGTTTACCGAGATTATGTTTAACACTTGTTGAAACTTGAGAAAAGTTTACAAGTTGAAGTTAAACCGAGATGATGTTTAACGCTTGTTGAAACTTGAGAAAAGTTTACAAGTTGAAGTTAAACTGAGATGATGTTTAACGCTTGTTGAAACTTGAGAAAAGTTTACAAGTTGAAGTTAAATCGAGATGATGTTTAACCCTTGTTGAAACTTGAGAAAAGTTTACAAATTGAAGTTAAACTGGGGCCATGATTAAAGGAAGGAATGATATAGGTTCCATCACCTCAGGATGCCGAGGTAATAGAACTAAGGGGGCAGTTGTGGGGACATAATTTTTGAATGACAACACGTGGCCGAGGTGTCACAGAAGTGCCAGCCGAGGTGCCATGTGTCCTGGTCATGACGCCGAGGTAATCTCGGCTAGGCCGAGGTTATCTGCGAGAATACCGGAATCTGAGATAAGCGGATAAGGGACAAGAGTCCTAGAATGAGAGAAGACTTCAGTTTGGGTAAAGATAAGACTCTTAGAGGGTTTATCCTAATCCTACTAGGAGTCTAATATTAGCAGTAATCCTAAGTCCATTAGAGCTAGGCTTTTATTGGGACTAGGATTGAGTTTGCTATAAAAGAGAGGCACCCCCATGGGTCTAAGGTATGCTTTTGATATTTCTGTCTAGTGAGTTAAGCACTATTGGTTATCTTTGAGAGATATTGAGTATTGACTTGATCGTCGGAGTGCCCCCGGGTGGACGAGCCACCGCCGGAAACTCTTCTTTCTGTTGCAGGGCGTTCGGGCTTAATCTATTCTGCCGGTGCTCTCCAGCTGGGTACCTGTTTGGCAGTGTGGTCAGAAAATCACCCGTACACTATTACTATTTAATTATATAACAACTTTAGTTAATTATTATTTATTTATTTATTTTTGCCACCGACTTGTTAAGGTTTTGTTTGGGAAATTAAGTTTGAGGCTTTTTAAGTTATTTTAGTCAAAAAAAATAAAATAGACTTTTTAAACAAAATATCACATCCAACTCATAAGTATTACATTCGTTCTCTTACAAAAAAAATTAAAAAAATTCAAAGTCTTTTCAAACGAGACTTTTCAACTCTAAACTAAAATAATTAAAAAAAAATTAAAAAATCAAAACACCTACCCACTTTCCAAATGAACTCTAAAAATGAAACTAAAGCACGTTTTTTTTTCTAGTCACTTTTTTTTTTTTTTTTTTTTTTTTTTTTTTGGGTCAGTGTCTTCTGTCTAACATTGTTTTTGTCGTGAAGGATATAAATTATAATAATTGTCCCATGCACAGACAAACACACTCTCTGTCCCTTGCGTGGTCGTTCGTAAGCCGTGACGCTTGCATTCCCTTTTTTTGGTTTTTCTCACTTTGTTTTCAACTCTTTTTTTTTTGTCATTACGTGTTGTTGTTCTTCTCTCTAATCTTTTCTTTATATTTCATAGATACATACGTACGTACATACTCTTTTTTCTTTTTTGTATTCATTTCTATCCATTCATATTAGAAATTTTATCTTCACACTGCTTTTTTCAGTTGAATTTTAACCTCTTGTGTCTCCTGTTAAGAGTCGTGTAGTTATGATGGACTACAGTTATTTGGTTTAAATTTATTTATTTATTTTTTATGATTCATTATAGTGTGTGACTTTTAATTACCTTTGAAGTGATATTAAGTTATGATCTACTGTAATGTTTTGATTATTATTTAAAGTAATTTGTTATTAGGTAAAGTAATATTAAGGCCTCGTTTGGTAAGTAATTTTTTTAGTTAAAAAGTCTAAAAAGTTACTAAAAAAAATTAAAAAGCTAATAACTTATATAAAAAAGTCAAAAATTTCTTTTTCTCTCTGCTTCTTACCCATCTTTTTGCAAAAAATTAAAAAATTATCCCAAACATATTAATTTTTTCTTACATCATATTTTAACCAAAACGCTAAAAAATTACTAAAAAAGTATGTTCCCGAACGAGGCCTAAGATCACAAAATATCAAAAGTTGTATATGATATGTATTAGAAGAAATTTATGGCATGCACCCTTAAAAGGTGTACATTAGGATGTATTGTGATAAAAATTATAAATATTTGTCATGTGTTTATGTCAGTTTTATGGGAAAATTCTATAATACGCATCTCAGAAAAAAGTATTTATCATATGCACCTAATTATGATTTTTGTAGTTTTTTTGTTATGACATTGTGATGTTAATTGTGTTAGGTTATGATTTAACTATGACCTTTTGTGATTGCTATTTTGATTATGATTGAAGAGATTTTTAATTATAGTTGAAGCAGTGCTTGCTTGGTAATGATCCTTTGGATCTTTTTAGTTATAACTGAAAATGATTTGATCATAACACTTTGTGATATTAATATCACAAAATATACCTTATAACTTACATATGGTACACTCTTTTGGGATTGTGTATGATGGAATGATCCTACTTTATGGTAAAATTATAAATAGTTATAATGTACACCCTAAAATTACAAATAATAAAATTACGATATTTTGTAATTTTTATAATATGACATTTGTGGGAGGCAGTTGTGACATTTTTGTATGGGTTATGTTATGAAGTTTTGTAAAAATATAGGAAAATGTTTGAGACTCCCATAAAAGAGTATCTTTATGACTCTCGTTAACGTATTAATCATTAATGTGTTTAAATTTTTTTTAGACTTATATCTGATAGTGACATGAATAATTTAAATCATGTTAAAATTGTAGGAATTGTATTTTCTGGTCCCATCGTTACTAAAAAAGTATATAAAAAAGGTACGGAGGGCATTAAATAAACTCGTTTTTTTAAAGGTTGCAAAGGTCCACATTAAAAGCCACAAAGAAAGAGACGCTCCTATGTATTGTAGAAAGAGAGAGACGTATGTGCATGTGAGGCTAAACAGTCCACAAGTCCTAAAGTTGCAGTGTTTCAGAGGTATTTTCGCTTGTTCACTTCGTTGTAGAGAAAACAAGGGTTTTGAATTTTTGAGGGCTTTAAGACCCATATCAGTAACCAAATGATCTACCTTTCCATTTTGGACAGTTGCTGTTTTGAGTTGAGTGTGTTTGTATCTCCATGTTTGTTGTATATCCCATTTTCTGAAGCCAAAAACAACAGAAAATATTTCAATAGAGTCTTACTCTCTTGTATTCTTCTCTGTTTTCTAATTTCTCTTGGAAACCAAAAGAAGGGAGGGTCTAGTGGATACCAATGCCTGTTTGTTTGTTTTAGTTCCAAGTAGAGTTCAATTTATGTCAGTGGAGTTACAAGTTTGATTTTTAATATGCATAAATATGACTTCTTCATTTTTTATTAATTAATTTGAAGACTCTATGGTTTGCTATTACTGCAGAGCAGAGGTGCAGGGAGTTATTTCTGGAAGGATTGGATGAACAGAAAACCCAATCAAATACCTAAATACTCTACTACTTAAAATTATTTGTATCTGTATTACAAAGAAAAATAATAATAATTTTGATGGTGAACATAATTGAAGATGGGTTTTGAGCCTTTGGTTTGGTATTGTCAGCCAGTTGAAGGTGGGATATGGGCAACAGTGACAGATAGTGCTTTTGGTGCTTATACACCATGTGGCATTGACTCTGTTGTGGTTTGTATATCTCATTTGGTTCTTCTGGGCCTGTGCTTCTACCGAATTTGGCTAATTAGAAATGATCTTAAAGTCCAGAGGTACCAACTCAGATCAAAATACTACAATTATGTGTTGGGTCTCTTGGCTGGTTATTGTATTGCTGAGCCTTTGTTTAGACTGGTTATGGGCATTTCATTGTTTAATTTGGAAGGACAGACAGGTCTTGCTCCCTTCGAGGTTCGTTGTTTACTATCATGCAGTTTCTATTTACAATTTTATTTCGATTCTAGCGTTCCTTTACTTTGAATAATATGCGATCTGGATTTTATAGTTTTCTTTTCTTTTCTTTTAAATGCATCTAACTAGTTAAATGTGTAATCTTGGGTATCTGTGCTCTTTTCTCCTATGTGTTTCAACATGCAAGATTATGAGGCATCCATAATGTGCAGCTAATTAACAGCCGAAGTTAGACATTTGCCTAAGACGTTGAGAGTAATTTTTTAGTATGAAAATATCTGCCATGGAAGAGCATGCATGTGTATTTGGTTCTGAAATCAAATAAAGCTGAACTAGGGCTTTAAAGTGAAGTAAGTCCTAGTGAATACAGTTCTGTTAGGAAAAAAATCTTTTTCTCCATGTAAATCTTGTTCATGATTTACAATGTTACTTCCTTCAATCTTTTTTCCGCGCTTACATTTCAAAACATTACAACTCCAAGTAAGATTCAGTTAGCCATCCTCATGGACATTTACATTTACATTTGAGACACAGTTTGGATTCTCAAGATGATTTTACATGGCTGATGCAATGCCTAGCTCCAAATGGGGGTTTGTGGGAGGAAGGGTCAGGGAATCTCGATTCTGAAGTATCAAAATTTGTGGTGGCTGACTTTCTCTGCATTAATCTTAAGCATTCAAGAAACAAGAACATACTATTGTGAAGATATGATATGGTAGCTATGTTTAAATCTTTAGAGACAAGAGAGTCACTAAATAGCATTTTGGACTTGCATTTACCTCAGTTAAAGGGCACTCCATTACTGGCTTTTCTTCTATCACGATCTTCTAAACGTGATTAGGTATTGCCCCCCAATGGCATTGCATATAGATTGCATGTTCTTCCCAGTTATGTACTGTACATCTCATGCATCTATCTTTTATAAAATTTCCATACTCTTCTTTTGTGCAAAAAGATGTTTTTAGGGATTAAAGTATTGGATAGAATGCTTCATTTCACATATAAACTGAAGTTGAGGCTCCCAAGGATTTAGGAGTGTGATGCTATTGCTGAAGGAGAGTTATTATGATTAGAATGAGAGGAAACGGAATTATGCTCTTTGATATTGGTTTTGGACAATTTAAAGATATTGGTTGTTAGTATCTAAATTTATTTTGCGATAACTTTACATCGATGATCCTTTTTTTATGCTTCTCTTTTTCTCTTTTATGGGATCTTGGCTGTTACTGATTGACATTTGCCTTTGGTCATTGTGGTGCCTTAGTTTCTAATTTCTGCTATTTTGGTAAAAAGAGACTAAAGCTGATCTATAATGTCTTGGCAACCATGAATAAGCCAAACATTTTTGTTTTTGTTTTTTCCTTTTTGTTTTCAAATTTTCTGTGCTCAATTTCAAAATGACAAAGTGACTGTAGAAATTATTCTTAGATCAGATGATCACTTCATTCTCACACTTACTTACCAAAGAGACAAAAAGAATAATAGTAAAAGTCACAACTTTGAAATAAGATGCACTTTATTATTGTTTTTAAGGGTGGCTTGGCCCAACAGTAAGACTTGTCATTAGTATTCCCTATATGAAGCATGTGTACTTAAAAAAAAATGCCATACATTGGATACACGAGATGAAACATGTATCTTTTTTTTTTTTTTTCATTAGTGTTCAACTTGGGTATTGACTGGGTACCTCTGGAGCACAACAGGTTCCAACAACAATCATGTTTTGAAGTATATGAGTAACAAAATAGGGTGTTCTTTTATTCAGAGATGAAGTTTGCTTGATAGGCTTCCTTTAATGCTTAGCATGCTTTTAAAATTAAGTTTTGGTTTGTAGGTTTTCTAATGTAATGACATTAAAATTTGGTTTGCACTTTGCTTTTGGCATTAAATGGTGTCATGAGTTTGAGTCATCGAAATAGTCTCTTTAGAAATGGGGTAACGCTGTGGACACCTTACCCTTTCCAAACCTTGTTGTAGCAGGAGTCTCATGCACTACGTCGCCTTTTTTATTGTTGTTATTAATATCATTTATTTTATTTATTTTCTCATTAATGAATTGCAATGTTCATTGGAATGTCTATCCCAGTTTTTTTATTTTTATTTTATGGCATGTAGATTATAAATTGTTTAGGCGATGTGATGGTTTAATGCTACGTTATTTGTAAAATAATGTCTTCTCTCTTACAGATGGTTTCATTGATCATTGTGGCTCTTGCTTGGTGCTCCATGTTGGTTATGCTTGGTATAGAAACTGGAATCTACATCAGAGAGTTCCGGTGGTATGTCCGGTTTGGAGCCGCATATGTGTTGGTGGGGGATGCTGTGATGCTCAATCTTATTCTTTCAGTGACAGATTTCTACACAGGGTCAGTATCATTGTTCATTATTAACTAGTGTGATTACTACTTTTAATAAATTTGTAAACCTTCGTTGTTGGTACCTATGTATTGTGCTTGAAATTCATTTACTGATTGAAAAAGTACTCCTAGATTGCTCACTCATTCTATTTTGTGCATTTCCAAAACTTATTTCGATTTCCCTTAAGTTTTCAAACTCTTTCCTTCCCCAAGTTGATCAAAATGTCAGATCAGAAACAAAATCAATCCTTGTGCTTTGGCATATAAAATTAATGAACTATTTAGTTAGGATTCATGTGGCTTTGGTATAGAATTCCTCTTTTGTAACTGTCAGTGGCTTATGCATACTCATAATTGTATTTATTTGTGCAGATCTGTGCTGTATATGTACCTCCTCACACTTTTCATTCAGGTTTGTTGCTTTTGTATCTGTGTTGATCCTTCTAGGCTCATGGGATTCATTATGTCTTGCCAACACATACTGGCCAATACTTGTTAGACACTAAAATTTAAATCCAGAAAGCTGATGCCAAGTCAGGATGACTGCATTGTATGGGAAGCATAACATTTTTCAAACCAAAATGGTCTTGATTTTAAAGTTTCTGGTTTTTATTTTAAGTCACTCTAAAGAAAATCTCTCTGATATTGGTATGTAATTTTTGTTCTAGTGCAGGTTCTGTTTGGAGTGTTTCTTTTTGTTTACATTCCTCAATTGGATCCTTATCCGGGGTACGTCCCAATACGGAATGACCCTCTTATTGATGCCGAGTATGAAGCACTTCTTGGAGGAGAGCATGTTTGTCCAGAGAGGGATGCCAACCTATTTTCCAGTAAGTAGTAAACATTATTTAGTGTTGTTTTTGCCAAGAATACCAAAGTGTTGAAAATGGCCTAGTTCTTGTTCTAGAATAAAGAAATCTTAGCAGTATGATTTTTTTCAACAGAGAATGGACTTCAATTAGAAAATTAGTAGATGCTATGCATGTGTATCTTGGAGGGTTAGTATCTTACAATTTGACATGTTTAGAGATACGCATAGCTAATACATATCTTACTATCTTATGCTAAATGTATCTTATGGGTGCATCTATTTACACCACAAATTTAACTTCTTGCAACCCTCATTTCCTTTTTTGTTTTTTTAATTACAATTCTCTCATGTAAAATTACCAAAAAACTCAAATCCTACAAATCATTGACCCCAATTTCTCAAAAACTCAAATCCTACAAATCATTAGAGATACGCACCCCTCATTGCCAATGATTGAGTTGCATACCACTAATGTGATGCATTGGTATATGGTAGGGATTTGTTTCGGGTGGATGACCCCACTCATGCGGCAAGGCTATAAAAGACCTATCACTGAGAAGGATGTCTGGAGGCTAGACACATGGGATGAGACTGAGACATTGATTAAAAAGTTTGCATTGTGTTGATTCTCTTACTTACACCTCTGCGTAGTTAATTAGGTTTTCGTTCTATGGGATGAAATAATTTCTGACTTTTGTAGGTTCCATATTTGTTGGGCTGAAGAATCTAAAAGGTCTAAACCCTGGCTTTTGCGTGCCTTAAATAATAGCCTTGGAGGAAGGTATTCTTTAAACAAAAACCATTCAAAATAATCTACATTTTTCTATTTTAGTGAAACCATTAACCTTCCAAGCAATTATTATTTTCTAATATGAACATCCACATGTTGTACCAACATATAAAAGCATTTTTATCTCATTCCTTCCAATCTAATTTTTTTCTACAGGTTTTGGTTTGGAGGCCTTTTCAAGGTAATGACATTATTCTCCCTACATTTCTTTAAGCTTTTCATTTGTTTAGAACTCTTCATATCCTTATATCGGGCAAGTTGCTTGCTCTAAGCATTTGATCTCTTTAGAAATATTGTTGTTTAGTGTTACAAAACTGTGTTACCTGCAAGATGCTCTCGTAATATACAAGCTGGAAGTGTGATCCGTCATTTGTGTATTTGGCTTCAAATGTCATTCAATCTTAGGAGGCCTAGATGCAACTTTACCTTGTACATATCCTAGACCATGCTTGTCACTAGGACTCTTGCCAACACTCAACATTGGTTTAGTTCTTCTGTATCACTAGTTAGCATCCTAGTAGTGACATTGCATTACTCAACTCCTTCTCTAAAGAAGACATGCTGCACTTTCTCTAAGGAGGTTATACTTGGCTTTGTTAGATCACCAATTCTCCCAACAGCTTAAGCTATTAAAAAATGGACCAAACAATGTATATCAAACTATCCAATACCCTCCTTCATGTGCAATCCCATCTTGCGTGTTGAGAGACAAATAGAGAACCAAATAGAAAGAGAAGCAAACAACTAAACATAAAAGAAGAAACCAAATTGGAGCCAAATACCAAATGCTAAGAGAGAGACTTGAACATAAGATCTCTCTCAACCTGAGCTCTAAAACCATGTTAAATCACTAATAGTTCCAAAATCTAAGCTTGACATACATTGTTGGGCCCATTTTCTGACAAGTAAAGCTTTTGGGACAATTGGTGACTTGATATGGTATTCGAGCTCAAGTTGGGAGAGAGTCTTGCATTCAAATTTTTCCATTTGCATTTGGTTCTTGTTTGCATTATACTTCTCTATATGTATGTATGTTTGCATGTCCACGTGCAAAATCAAGTTACATATGAGGGAGGATGTTGAATAGTTTGACATACATTGCCGGGCTCATTTCCTAACAACTTAAACTTTTGGGACAATTGGTGACTTAACAAGCTTGGCTACAAAAAAACTAAAAAAAACAATTGGTCCACACAAATTTGCCAACCTAAAAAAACTAACAAAGCTCGTATCATGTGCATTCATTATAGTTATTTAATTTTGTTGTATAGTATGGCTTGAGCTTGCATTATATTTCTTCAATGTAGTTGTCCTAGGAGATATAGTCAACCTTGGTGAATTTTTTATTAATGTATTATTTGTTTTTCCTTCATATTTTTCAAATCTTATGAATCATATGACAATCACTTATATTATGTTTGTCATCTTACTCATCATTCTTCAACAATCTTGTAGATTGGCAATGATCTTTCTCAGTTTGTTGGGCCAGTTTTGTTGAATCATCTCTTACAGGTTAGTCTTACCATTCAAATGCATGGTGATGCATCCCATCTTTGTTCCTTTGTGATCCAAGGCCCATAAAAGGGCCTCTGACTTATTTGGACACTAGCGAATTACTCGTGCCTAAGGCACTTACGACACAATTTGATCCCAAGTAAACTAAACACCCTTTCATGCCTTTGACCAATCCTAGCCCCTACACTTGAAACCAAACCAACCACTACTAAAACCAAGATAAACCACCAGACTCTTAAACTCCGGTTTAATTTGCAGCTGATGAAGAAGGCTGTATCATTACTTGACATTGTCAGCCATCACTAGTATTGTCACATCTACTACTATCACCTAGTTGTTGGCAAAGAGAAATCATAAGTAGAAGAAAAAGACAAAAGTTCAAAAATTACAATTTAGGGCACAACCAATTATCAAATAATTAATAGAAATTTAGATTTTACAATTTAGGAAAGTGGATGTTAATATTTTAGTTTAATTCGACTCATTACAATACTCAAATGAAATTGTATTATTACATATGGTTTTTTTTGTTTTGTTTTGTTTTGTTTTTTTTATTATTATTTTTTTTTATGGAGGAGAGACCAATTAATTTGAAAGAAAATATTAAAAATAGTTTTAATAATTGATAGGTAAAATATTAGTATTTGAACTAAGGAGGTTCATTAGTTGTTAAATTGTAAATTTGAAATGTATAACTCATTTTCTATATAAAAGTTTTGGAATGACAATTATTTAAGAAAAGTAAAAAATTAGCATATATATCAGACCCGGCACATAATTCATGTTGAAAGGCCATAAAATTTAAGAAAACTTGAGAAAATTGCCTTATAAAAAGGTTGAAAGTCTAAAGTGAACAAACTACATTAACAGTAGAATTGATTAATTTTATTTCGTAGACATTTCAAAAAGTGATGAGCTTTATTAAATAGATATATTGCCTTATAAATCAAATGATCAGTAACATCAAGACGAGTTCGGATTTGCTAAAGTTGAAGATTTCAACTTCACGGTGAAGTTGACCTATTATGGGACTAACTTGGACCCACTTCGATAATCTAAACCGCTCATCTCATACAACTAACTGAGAAAATTATCCATGCAAAAAATCCATTTGATCCAACATCGATTGTCATACCATTATATCGTTTTTATCCATACGACGTACATGTTTTTAAGAATGGACTGTTGATTTGTTATAATATATATGTGATTACTTATGTTTGATCAACCAAATTTTTTGCATGCATGTTCTTCTCAACTTATCATATGAGATGAACAATTGAAATTATTGTGATGAGTACAGATTGGTCCCACAATGCACCAACTTCATCTATGAAGTTGAGATCTTCAACTTTAGGAAATTCGAACATGTTTATTTATATTTTATAAATTCAAAATTCTATTAAAATTGATTGAAAACTTTCAAATCCGAATAGCTAAAAATGTTTTGTAATAATCTATTTAATTTGCTGAATTGACTAAGTTGTTGAATTGGCATGGGTGACTATAATCTATAATTTATATTTGTACCAAAAAAATTAGTTCCTAAAAATTTGGTTTTGTATCAAAGAAAGTTTCAGGATTTTACACCCTTTCAATGTTTTAAGCATCAAGAGATAATTTTTATTTTTTTATTTTTTGGGAATAAAACATAACGGAGATATAAAGAAGTAAGGAGAGAACATTTTAGTAATTTGAGATAGGGTGGGAAGGGCATATTTGGGGTACAAAAGTTGAAAGTGACATATTTGGGAGGGAATGTTGAAAGTGAACAAACTTCATTGACCATAGGATTGAAAGCAAGATTAATCCTAGCCATTCTAACCAATTGTACCACATAGACGTTTCTAAGAAGTGATGTGTTTTATCATGTAGATTTGGCTAATTATTATATTCTAATTAAGTGGAAATAGTAAGCACACTTCACAAAAAATTGTTGTGTTGTTCCATGTCAGAAGTAAAATTTGTGATGATAATTTATATTTTAGGGATTAATTTAGTTTTTCTTAATGGTTACTTCTGGCAGTTAATTGTGCTTAATACTTTCCTAAAAGTATTCACTTTAATCCTAACACATCACCAATACTGCAATATGAAGCTGTTCCACTTTGCTTTTGGAGATATAATATGGATCTTGTAATTCTAAGCATTTTTTCAAAATTCCATATCATCTTATTGATACACCTGCTTTTTGGATGTTTGTCCATCTCCTCTTTTTACTTTTTTTTTTATTATTTATTAATCCCTTATAAATGATTGTGCAAAAATGTACCCAAAATTAGTTTGTAGTCAATTAAATCATTCACAATTAGGAACACTTAAATATTGAAAAAAGTAGGTTGAGCTTATGAAGTCAATATTCACTGAAATAAGAAATTATAATATATACTTACTAGGTAAGCTCATAATTTCTTTATAATACTGTAAATCTTGTATATTTTTCACCCACTCTTGTGTTCTCCCTTTACTTCTCATTTTTAGGTATGCAAAGGACGCCATTTTAGCTTTATAGTTTGTATTTGGCCTACAAAGTTTATGATACTACTGATTACAGTCAATGGAACAAGGTGATCCAGCATGGATTGGCTACATTTATGCCTTCTTTATTTTTGTTGGGGTGGTATGATTTCTATCCTTCTTATTTTTATAAAGTATTTATGTTACAAAAATATGTATCAGATTTATCTCATATTTGTTTTTCTCAAGGGAGTAAATTGCTCTTCCTTTAGTATTTCTTTTTCTTTTTCCTCCTCTGCGTGCCATTAATTTCATTAAATAATCACTAATAAATATTACATGTTATTTGGCATTCTAGAGATATCACATGTATGGGTTTAATATTAATTATCTGGGTCATTTTTCTTCTTATATTTATTTTTCAACTAACATCACAAAGTTGATTCATTGAAATTAAATGCAAAATCCACTGGGAAATACAATAAACATAAAAAAGAGAGAGGAAATCATTTGAAACGGAGCCAACACCGGCCAAAGATGTGGAGATGCCATTGATAGCCATCACATTAGTAGAAGAAAGAGGAGAGAAAATAGAAATAAACAAGGAAGGATCATTTTCCATATGGTGCGTAGTGAAGCTTGAATAACCAGCTTAGGGTATGATGAGATATCATCCCTTATTTATAAATGAAGATTAGGGTTTACAAGGAAGAAAATTACAAGATGATCCCTGAGGGCATAAAAATGATTACAGACCCTAGTGCCTTTCGGCTAATATAAAATGCTAAGTGACTTTCGGTGATTATAATATGCCAACACTCCCCCTCAAGCTGGTGCGAAGATATCTCTCATGCCCAGCTTGCCTAATATTCCATATGGTGCGTAGCGCCTGAATCAAATACCCAAGTGGAGCGAGATGAGGAAGACAAACCTAGAGGTGAAGAGAGAGAAAGCATTAGATGAATTGGGATTGATCCTCTACAGATGGGGCAGTAGCTGAAATATATTTATCCCCACCCTTCTTCCAAGTCAACTAGTGTCCATGATACCTGTCTCCACTTTTTTCCGAGACTCTTGCTGCCCAAAATTTTGTAGACGTAAAAGTTTAGGACATTGAGCCTTCCGGTGACCTTTTTTGGTGACAAAAACAGCATTCATCCAAAGGTGTATGAGTGAATGATTTGCCTTGTGTACTAATTCGATGGCCAGTAAACACTGTCTAAATTTTTTATATTATGACCATAGGATGGGCTTGGATTGAACTTGAAATTTTGAGGAAGAATAGTATTTAGTATTGCAATTATCCTTCAGACTCAACATCTTAAGGCATACAATTAGGTGTTTCAAATATTTAAAGCAATTGGTTTACTCATTTGAAGTTTCCAAAAGCTGTCTAAGTCTTGAAATGGGAGATACATCCTAAAAGGTATATGAAAATGACAATGATATTACTTAGAAAATATGAGGAAGAAGAACTCCGAAAATATGAGGAAGAAGGAATATATTTCTGTTATATTCAAAACTTCTTATTTTACAAGACCAAATGACACTCCTTATATAGGAGATATTACAAACATCATAGTGGAGTAGGTGAGGTGGTAGTGGTGTAGTGGGTTAGGTTTAGCAGAGTAGGTTTAAGTGGGTGAAGTAGGTGATAGGTTTTAACAGCCCCCCGCAAACTTAAGGGGATAGGAACTAGCCAACTTGAGTTTGGAGAGAGTAACAAAACAAAAAAATAGACGAATACATAAAAGAAAAGAGGATAGGAGACACTGTATGGTCGTGTCAGACCATTGGTGAAGACACTGGATGGTGGTGTCATAACGTTGTAGAGGACACTGTATGGACTAACTACACTGACAGCTACAGCAATATCAGGACGGGAGTGAGATAGGTAAATGAGCTTACCCACTAATCGTTGATAGCTCCCCCTATCCACAACTTCTCCTCCTTCATCATCCCCCAATTTCTGATTGGGTTCCAGTGGGGTGGCACATGCCTTGCAGCCAAGCATCGCAGTTTCCTTCAACAGGTCAAGCACATATTTTCTCTGTGAGATAAATATCCCATCCTTAGAGCGAGCAACTTCAATTCTCAGAAAATACTTCAAGCTTCCCAAGGTATGTTGTAGTGAAAATTAAATTGATAAAGTGTAGAGTTACGAGTAAAAAGAATTTGAACCATTGATTTTTATCTTTGAATAAATTTTAGATAGATAATTCTAAATTTATAATTCTAAATTTATAGCATTCCTGGGGCCAATATACTTGTGACATCAAATAGAATTTAGTCCTAGTATTATAATTTTTTTTTTAATTGAAAAAAGAGAATCTTTGGAGAGACTGTGTCCCCTTCCATTCTCTTATAACTAGGTAGGGGTGTAATTTTGGCCTGGTCCGGTAAAGGTAGCCTAGGGAACTTAAAACCCTTTAAGAAATTAAAAAAAATATGTATCCTAGGCAACTCTAAAGACAGCTTAGAGAACCCCAAAACCCTTTAAAGTATCTCTCTCTCTCTCTGGTATAGTTCTTCACAAAAGAATGGTGATGGTGGCTCTTCCCCCAACTCGTCTCACAGTGGTTAAGACGATGGTGGTGATCAAAATGGCAGTAGCAGTGGCGAACTCGTGGCGGTAATGGCGCAAGCAGATTGATGGTGACGATGAGTTCCTTTTCTCAATGTATCATATCTCTTCTCTTTTAGATCCTTCTCTCTCTATGTGTATACTTTCTATTCTCTAAGGTCTGCGTGTGTGATTTCATTATTTGTATTTGAAAATTCTGAATTAGTTTCTTAGATTTGATTGAGTGAATGGTAAAGTTTATGTGTTGTTTGAGCTCTCTGCGAAACCGTTGAAATCGACTGACAACACCGAATCAGTGTGCGGTCGAGTTCCAGCACACTGGACCACACACTAGCGGTCAACATCGGATGAAAAAAGTATTGAACCGAAAGGATCGGTTCGAGTGGTGGTTCAAACACTAAATCCGAGCCGACCGACCTGTGAACAACCCTACTTGAAATTATATTTTTTTAACTGAAAATTAATTAAAGAGAAAATTACTAGAAAATTAAATTTTGAGAACTTATCTATTGTCGATTCTACGGAAATTTTTATAACTTAATAAATCCTATTTATTTAGAAATATATCAAGCGTAATTGTATTTTTACATATAAATTTTTCTCAATACGCACACTTAATGAAAATATTCTCAGTATACACATAAAAAAGTAAAAAAAAAATATCAGGACACATCTTTTTATTTCAATAAAATCTATATCTTAAATTTTAAAATCTTAATTTTTCTTTCATCCACCCACCCTTTCATTGTTGTTGTCACAACTCTCAGCCCCTCCATCACCCGTCACTCCTAACACATCCCCTCCTACCCTAGACCTTGAAAGTGAATGGTTTGCGACAAGGGCTTATGAGAGTGTATGGTTCATAAAGGAAGATGGTCACAGGAGAAAGGAGAAAGAGGCGATGAAAGGGGATGGTGAATGAGAAGGTGGCGTTGGCAATTTTAGAATTAGGATTTCATTCAAGCCAGCAAACATGGCTACCAACAACAGAGCCACAGCTCTACACCCCACACCCAAATCCATGGCTAAGAGAGAGAGAGCAAATCGGGAAAAAAACAGCAGTGACGAGCAGAAAAGCTGCGCCAGAAACGCCAACGACGACGACGAGTAAGAGTACAACCACGGATATGTGAGAGGCGAGGTGAACGGCGATAGAGGCTAGACGATGATGCGGGTGCCGCCGCCGACATAGCGGAGGAGGGGTGTAAGAAAATGTTGAAGAAGTCAAGGTATGTGTAGAAAATAAGCGGAATAGGTTGAGGTCCGGCGGGCGGCCAAGGCGAGGTTGCCGCTCGCCGGTGAAGCGAGAAAAATTAAGGTCTTAACCTTGCTCTGATACCATGTAATAATTTATGTATTATTGATTGATGTTTATTATTGATTTGTTACAATGATTCATGATTCCTATATATAGAAGAGGGTGAGTGTGTAGTAGGTAAGGAGTAGGTGAAGTGGAGGTGGTAGTGGTGTAGTGGGTTAGGTTTAGTGGAGTAGGTGAGGTGGTAGTGGTGTAGTGGGTTAGATTTAGTGGAGTAGGTTTAAGTGGGTGAAGTAGGTGGAGAGTAGGTGGATTTAGGAAGAAACCCTTGTACCTTAAAAAGAGTATGGGTGTAGAGAGAAATTTAGCATGTGTATTTAGATATTCCCATTCTGTACACTGTTTGAGGTTGTTTTGGGAACTAAGTGAAACTCAGGCTCTTTCTGAGACTTAAAAATTTCTTGGGAGAAGTCTTTGGAAGTTTTGAAAGAGCAATTGGTTTACTCATTTGAAGTTTCCAAAAGCTGTCTAAGTCTTGAAATGGGAGATACATCCTAAAAGGTATATGAAAATGACAATGATATTTGAGGTTGTTTTGGGAACTAAGTGAAACTCAGGCTCTTTCTGAGACTTAAAAATTTCTTGGGAGAAGTCTAAAAGGTATATGAAAATGACAATGATATTTGAGGTTGTTTTGGGAACTAAGTGAAACTCAGGCTCTTTCTGAGACTTAAAAATTTCTTGGGAGAAGTCTTTGGAAGTTTTGTCTTTCTTCTATTTTGACTGTGCAATCTAACCCCTCCCAGACCCCCATCCAATAGAAACTAAATTGGTTGTAGTTTTTATTCTCTACCACAATTTATTAATTCTATCCTTCTTATATTTTTTCTGGGTACAATTACTCTTGTTTTTTCATCCAAAACAGTGTATCACTTATTTTGTTGAATATTGAAGTCACATTCCACAGTTTTCTCATGAGAGCAAAAAGTTATAGGACTGCATATTCTTGAATATGTTATTTTGAATGTTCTCTATGCTGAACATTAAACTGCCGTTGTTAGTCCTTGATACTAAAAGATTTAAGCAGTTGCTTTCTATAAGCATTCTTTTCTAAGATAATTTATGCCTAGAGTACAACTGATCATGGAAGTTGTACTTGTAGTTTGCAATCATTGCATTGACTAGATGATTTTCCATGGTTCAGTCAGCTGGAGTGCTGTGTGAAGCTCAATATTTTCGAAATGTTATGCGTGTTGGTTTCAGGCTAAGATCAACTTTGGTAAATTCTCTTTCTCCAATTACAGTGTAAAGATCTACATGTGGCTTATTTCTGTATTTCTCTTTCAATTTTGGTTGCTTTTTGTATCACCTAACATGTTTCTTTTACTGCATTAGCATTACTTGTTTGATCCGGGGCGGCCACAATTACAAGAAAACCAACAGTAGACTGCATACCATATCAGATTTTGAGGATAAAAACTAAATTTACATAATCAGATTAGGGGTTTCTTCTAGCATACCAAGGGCTTGGGTGGAGAGTTTGAATGAATCTGCTTGTGGCAGAAGTTTGTTCTCTATTCAATTTACATCCCCGGCACATCTATTTATCAATTTTTCATTCTTGAGCATGTCTAATGTCTGAGATTTAAAACTTTTTGATTTTTGGCGAAAAACTTTGGCTCAAGGAGGAAGCTGAATGATATAGTTTAGAAAAGTCAATGACCAAGAAGAACAAGAATAAAAGTAGAGCAAAAGAAGAAGTATACGATAGAAAACAGCTGGTGTAGTATTCTAATTGGGTGATAGGGATTGTATTTATGTTGATGAGAATGGCGCTCTTTGAAATAAGTAATGCATCTCTTTTACAAAAGGAGGAAAATAAAACTGTATGCAAACTCTGGGCCCTTCAAATGCCAGAATAAATATTAACCATGGTCATATTATTTAGTTTTCTCATGAAAACTTCTTGATCATATTTCCCCTTTTCAAACTTTTGTGATGACTGACCCAGACACTTGTCCAAATGCTGTCAAATATAGCTCACAGAGGATTTTCATTTTCCGTTTTTTAGATGTCAATGAAATGTTAATCAGTTGTTATGGTTGGTGATGTTGGTAATGTTCAATCTATATTCTTCTGGAGTTCTAGGATGTCTTGCCAATTTGAAAGCACCAACTTAATTTGACTTCCTCGTTTGTAGGTGGCTGCTGTATTTCGCAAATCCTTAAGACTAACCCATGAAGGTCACAAGAAGTTCCCATCTGGAAAGATAACAAATTTGATGACAACCGATGCTAATGCACTTCAGGCATGCTATTTTTGATAATCATGCACATGCACACAACCTCGCATGTAAATAAACCTTATTATGCCCAATGCTAAATTCATTATGCTTTTATATTATACTCTATTTGAGGACACTACGAGTATGAAATTTTGATGAAGTTTTGGGAAGTCAGGCAATGATTTGTCCTCTCTCTATTTTGAATAATATTATGATATCATCAATTTCACCATGACTGTTTCCAAAGAGAATAAATTGACAATTCTCAATTGCCTGAACTTTTCGTGGGACTTCTCTGTATGTATGAAGAAAACTAGTGATGATTCACATATAATTGCATTATTTGGGAAATGTGTCTGCAACAAGTATCCCATGTCTGAAAGTATACAAGTCAGTAAAAAAAATTCTTGGATTTTCATTTTTTTGAAATTCAGCTGGTAATTTTTTTCTTTCCAGTCTGTTGTTTTTTATTTCAAGTTGGCAATCGGAACCTAGTTGGTCTCTCAAACAAAATATCAGTGGCTCTAGTCCCCTTGTCTTTTGAATACAAAAAATAAAAATAAAATAATAAAATGATAATAATAATAATTTTGACATTATAGTTTTAAAATAAAGTACAATTTTCTGTCCCCCACCAAGGGTTATAAATCTGCATTAGTACAACTTATATAAAAAATAAAGAAAGACAATCTGTAATAATACAGACTCGTTATAGTTAGAAATTTTGATTTGCAAGGATGCATTTTATCATATGACTGACTTTGGTCTATAATTGATTTTGGTACCAATCATGTCTGCATATTTTGGTAGTCTTTTGCAGTTGCTTGGATTGAATTATAAACTCATATGTCCTTTGTTCAGCAAATATCACAACAACTTCATGGTTTATGGTCAGCTCCATTTCGTATCAGTATTGCTATGGTTCTTCTTTATCAGCAATTGGGTGCTGCATCACTTCTTGGTTCCCTAATGTTAGCTCTAATGTTCCCATTACAGGTAACAAAAGTTTTTCCTGCTGCTTTGCAGCTACATATGGATTTTGTCTTAATGGTGTATTGCATGTGTGTGCGTGCGTGCGTGTGTGTGTGTGTGTGTGTGTGTGTGTTTTGAAATTTGTTGGATCCATCGACTTTGAATAAAATCATAACCATCTTATTTGGTTGACCATGTTTAGCCTTTTTTATTCCCATTCTACTCTGTCTAGGGAATGGTTGCTAAATGGCCTCAGCACCTAGGAAGGCACCCAGAATTTCATAAGCACCCCTCTTTTTCATCTATTTGAATGTTTTTCTGATATTATACTATTTTTGATGATTTAACATTTCAAAATATTTTAAGGAACAAAAGTCATGCTTGTGTGAGTGTTCGTAAATCAAGCAGCTACAAATTTTAGAAGGGGAGAATGTTAGGCATGGCTCGAAATGAAATATTGGGGGGTTCTAAAAGAAATAATAGAAAAAAAAAAGAAAAGAAGTAAAATAGGTTGGACTAGTGTGTGTGTGTGGTTACTTTCCATAGGGAAGAAGCCTGTTCTTGTCCACGGTTTTGAAGTAAACAGTTCAATTAAAGTCAAATTAACCAATCTATTAAATTATCATACTTCTGTATGCTATAGTTTAATTGTTTTCTCCATCTAAATTTGCTGTATTTATTCGTTTGAGCTGATAATATTACTAGAACAGTCTTGATTATTTCAGAATCAATAAATAAAAATCCAAGGCTTCAGATAGTTTTAAATTTCTCTGGCAATCAAGATGCCTGTTCGTTAGTTATATTATCCTTAATTGAATATTTGATGGAAAGTAATTGCATATTTGAATCAATTGAAATTTGACCGGGATAGTATGATCTATCTGTTTATCGAATCGAGCCAATCGAGCTTCTCTGATTTCCAGCAGTTTGGTAGGACAAACAGTGTGTGGATATAATTAAAATCTAAGTTCTTATTAGTACACACTTGTTCACCAGTTGCTACGTAAAAAATCGATTGTGAAACAAATGCAACTTTTGGTTGCCTGGAATTGTTTCTAGCATTGAAACTTATTGAAGAGTTAACTGGAATGACTTAAATTTTTATAAAGGGATTAAAAGAATTTTAATTGATCAGAATTAAGGAAAATATGTTTTATTATGAACATACTTATATATGGAGCATTAATATTCTAACATAAAACCATATTTCTACTTGTATAAATTTCCACATATCCGGTTTTTTCATGCAATGCATGTTTCATGGTGAAAATCTTTTTGGTTAAAGACCAAATATAAAATATATTATATTGTTGGAATATAGAATATATTTAGAATCTATTTAGGATCTATTTAGGATCCCGTGATTTGTGGATCATGGATATTTAAGCTTAATTTTTGCACTCTTGTTTATTTCCTATTTTCAATTCATTATATATACACATGGCCTCACCCTTATTGTGGTAAGCCAATTACATACAGTTCTTCTTGGTATTCAAGCCAATACCCTAGCCCACCCCTCCTTCCCCTCTTCTTCTCTTCTGTTGGCACCACCCATCCATCCAGCAACACTGCCGGCAGCCCCTTTTTCATCCAGCAGTCACCAACAGCGCTGTAGGCAGCCTCCAGCAGCCCTGTCGGCACTTTTAGGCTGTCACCCAGCCATCGCACAGGCCATTCCAGGCCTGGGTCTTGCTGGATAGTCTTTATAGGCTTTGTCAGTTACTTCAGAGCTTAGTCTGCCACCGACCAGGCTATCCAAGGTCTTGTTCATCGATCACCCTAAAGTGTGTTGCTAACCTTTTTACAGCGCTTTTGGATGTGTTGACTTTGCTTCTCTCTGTTACAGTTCTTACACTAATGTGGTAAGCATGTGCTCTGTTCTTTTCTTTGGAAAGGCTACCTATGTGTTCGGTAGCAGTTTTGTTGGGCAACGGCATTTCTTCGGCTTCAGTTTTTGCCTTGTGGTTAGCCGTTTCTTAAGCTTTTGCTGTGTCAGTACTCTTCCTCTGCGTCGCTTCGCATTATGACTGAGACTTCTGAGAAATCTGAGACAATTGGGGGTGTATTACTCCAGTGGTCCCTCCCATTGATGTTTCTCTCACTTTGCCTACTTCTGCACATTGTATTACGAGTGTGGTGCTTAATGGGAAGAATTTTGTTGTTAGGAGTCGCTCTCTTCGTCTGTACGTTTGTGTTAGAGGTAAATCTGGTTGGCTTCTTGAAGCTATTCGGTGATAAAGCTATTCAGTGCATATTTGTGGGATAGCCTGCCCTTTCCGAGGGTTATTGGTGTTATGACCTAGTTGGTTGACGTTTTTACCATTCTTTGGATGTAACTTTTTGTGAAGATCTTTTTTTTGGTACTAACTCTCTTATGTTGGCATCTCCTTTCTCGGATCTGGTTGGGGACATGCCTTCTTCTGCTTGTCCCATTCGTATTTTTTACTTTGCCACTCTGAGTCTCCCTTCGGCGGTGTTGCCTACCGGGTCTTCTCTGCCACTTGCTCTCCCTCCAAACTAATTCCCGTCGTCCGCATGCTCTGCTCCCATCTAGCCTCCTTTTCGTCTCCGGATTCAGGTAATGCTTCTCCCTTAGTCACTGTCTCTCCACCCCCGCTTTATCCAACTCCTCTTTCTTCTCATCGGTATCCCACTCACAATCGTTTCCCCCCTAATCATTATGGTTGGCTTAGCAGTACTAATCATCCGGTTTTCCAGTATTTGTCTTATGTTGGTCTTTCAGATTTTTAGTGTTCTTTTCTCAGGAAGCTTGAGTCGATCTCCATTCCTCGCTTAGTCTCTGAGGCTCTCCAGAATCCTCGTTGGGTTGCGGCTATGCAAACTGAAATGGCTGCCTTGGAAAATAATCACACCTGGGAACTTGTTCCTTTACCTTCTGGTGAGAAGATTGTAGGCTATAAATGGGTTTTTAGTGTGAAGTATTTAGCTGATGGTACCATGGATCGATAAAAAGCTCGTCTTGTTATCAAGGTTTTTACACAGATTCCTGGCAAGGACTTTAGGGCTACCTTTCCACCTGTTGCCAAATTGACTTTTGTTCATTTTCTTGTATCTATGGTTGCCTCGTTTTCTTGGCCACTTCATCTACTTGATGTCAAAAATGCTTTTCCTCATGAGGATGTACTTGAAACTATATACATGGATCCTCCACGCGGTTTTTGGGCTGAGGGGGACTATGCTGGTAGGGTATGCTTGTTTGTTTAGGAGGAAACAAAACTTAGGGAATGATGAGACTGATGATTTTAGAGTAACCAGATAAGAGAATGATTAGGATATCATCCCTTATTTATATTAATGAAGATTAATTATTACAAGGCAGCCCAAGACATAGAATAATTACAAACTAATAACCCAAATAATAATATAATATGCTAATACTCCCCCTCAAACTGGTGCGAAGATATCTCTCATGCCCAGCTTGCCTAATATGTCATGAAATAACTTATTCCCAACTCCGTTGGTGAGAATGTCAGCAAGTTGTTCACTAGACTGCACAAAAGGAGTACAAATAGTGCCACTAGTGAGTTTCTCCTTAATGAAGTGGCGATCAATCTCAACATGCTTTGTCCTGTCATGTTGAACCGGATTGTGAGCGATGTTGATAGCGGCCTTATTATCACAGTATAACCGCATGGAGTCCGTCTGATCAATACCTAGATCACTCAACAATAACTTGATCCATAAAAGCTCACACACCCCTTGTGTCATAGCTCTAAACTCAGCTTCTGCTCTTGACCTGGCAACCACATTCTGTTTCTTACTTCTCCAAATAACTAAGTTGCCTCCAACAAAGGTGCAATACCCAGAAGTCGATCTCCTATCAGTTACTGATCCAGCCCAGTCAGCATCTGTATAGGCTTCCACACGAAGATGATCATACTTTGAAAAATAAAGACCCTTACCAGGAGTAGATTTCAAGTACCTCAAGATTCTCATGACAGCCTCGAAGTGAATCTGATGAGGAGCATGCATAAACTGGCTAACCACACTGACAGCAACAGCAATATCAGGACGGGAGTGAGATAGGTAAATGAGCTTACCCACTAATCGCTGATAGCTACTTTGAAAAATAAAGACCCTTACCAGGAGTAGACTTTAAGTACCTCAAGATTCTCATGACAGCCTCGAAGTGAATTTGATGAGGAGCATGCATAAACTGGCTAACCACACTGACAGCAACAACAATATCAGGATGGGAGTGAGATAGGTAAATGAGCTTACCCATTAATCGTTGATAGCTCCCCCTATCAATAGCTTCTCCTCCTTCATCATCTCCTAATTTCTAATTGGGTTCCAGTGGAGTGTCACATGCCTTGCAACCAAGCATCTCAGTTTCCTTCAACAGGTCAAGCACATATTTTCTCTGTGAGATAAATATCCCATCCTTGGAGCGAGCAACTTCAATTCCCAGAAAATACTTCAAGCTTCCCAAGTCTTTGATTTCAAACTCACTGGCTAAATATTTCTTCAACAGAGGTATTTCCTCACTATCATCGCCTGTAAGAACTATGTCATCTACATAAACAATAAGTGCTGTAGTCTTACCACGTGAGGAATGTTTTACAAACAAGGTGTGATCTGCCTGACTCTGTTTGAAGCCATACTTAAGCATAGCCTGAGTGAATTTCTCAAACCAAGCTCTTGGAGACTGTTTGAGGCCGTATAATGACTTCTGAAGCCTGCGTACTTTGCCTTCTGTCTGATGATCCTCAAAACCAGGAGGAATGTCCATATATACCTCTTCTTCGAGGTCACCATGGAGAAAGGCATTCTTGACATCAAACTGATGAAGTGGCCAATCTAGATTAGCTGCTAGAGAGAGTACTCTGACTGAATTCATCTTAGCCACGGGTGCAAAGGTCTTCTGATAGTCAACGCCATATGTCTGAGTGAACCCTTTTGCCACAAGTCTTGCCTTGTAATGCTCAATAGAACCATCTGCTTTGTGTTTCACAGTATACACCCATTTGCATCCCACAGGCCGTTTGCTTGTAGGTAACTCA